CAGAGCCACGGTTTAGGGTTTGGCATCCCAGAGCTCTTTCAATTCCAGCTGAGCTGCTTGGTAGCCGTGCAGTGAGTCGCCTGCTCCGCTACAAGAAGGGCTTCGGCTCCGAGGAGAACTCCTTGCAGTACACGCCCATCGTCTACATCTGTGCATCCGGAGCGCAGGCCATGCATTTGGAAACCTATGTGCATGGCTTCATGTCTGTCTACGAGCCTCAGAGCAAGCTCGGCACAGCCAGCGACGTCGAGGCCGCCGAAGGGAGAGAGATGTAAAAAAACAGGACTCCGCTACTCGGCTACTGGAAGTCCTACACTTGGCAAGCCAGAAGAGCGTCGCTCAGCTGTGTTCCGGAAAGACAGCTCTCAGGCGGTTCAGACGTGGGAATCCTGAGGATATCCCGCCCAAGGAAGAATTCAACAGCAGTCTCGATCTCTGAGAGACACTTGACTGCCTGCGAAGCTTGCGTGTTGCTAGATCTTTTGATCCGGCCAGCTCCGTCCTCAGAGCAACCCTTCGCATGTGTCTGCACTGTATAGCAAGCAGTACACGACGAGCCGTAAACCCTAAACCCTAGACTTTAAACCATAAACACTAACCCTAGATCCCGAACCCTTCAGTTTTCTAAAGCCTAAAGAATATACTTCCTGCGAAATGAAACCATTTGAGGACTCCCTGAGCATCTGAGTCTGGGTTCCTTTTCAGGAACCTGGTAGCTGAATCAAGAACCCTGGTTATTTACGATGGATTGTAGAACAACTTCAGTTAAGAATCCTTGAACAAGAACCCAGCAGAAGCCCTCATAACCCCCAAAACAAGACCCTAAACCCTAAAGCCCTTGAAGCCCTAAAGATCCATTACCCTAAAGCATAAACCCTAAAACCGTAAACCCCAAAGCCCTAAGACCCTAAACCCCAAACGCCCCGAAAGCCCTAAAACCCTAAACCACACCTCTGGAGGCCGAGATCAGCTTCGAGTGCGCGGTGAAGCCTGCGCTGCTTTCTGCCAGGGCCCCGGCTCTTGAAGCGCTTTTAGGGTTTAGGGTTCAGGGTCCAAGTTTAGGGTTTAGGGTTCAAGTTTAGGGTTTAGGGTCAGGTTTAGGGTTTAGTTTCCAAGTTTAGGGTTTTTGCAACGGTTTGACAGGGTGTGTATGACAGGTGTTCCAAGTTGTTCAGGAATCCGGAGCCTGCAAAATCCACACTAACAACCACCCTCAACCGCAAACCCCAAACCCTATACCCCTAAACCCTAAACCCTTAAAATCTTAAACCCCTAAACCCGAAGCCGTAAAGCCTGACTCCCAGAGCCCGGCCGCAGCCACAGGTGCAGGAGGGCCAGGTGTGCATCTACGCGATCCGAATGCCTGGAGCCCCAGCTTTGGGCGGGTCGGCTTTAAATGATTGGTAAAAAACAAGCGTTTTTCGGGTTTTCTATGAGGTGTTGCTAGTAATAATAGGAGTTAAGGTGTTGTACAAAGATCTTTTTCGGGGCTTCTATGAGGTGTTGGTGAGAGTTTGGGTTTGTAGCTGAGGGCGTTGGCATGTTAGGGGCAGCTCGAAAGTTTCGAAGCTTAGGGGTTTGGGAGCTCAAGCTTGAGCGGCATGACAGCTCGAGAGTTCGATCGTTTTGAGGCGTTTGTGAGCTGTTGAAGGTTTCGAACTCGTCGCGGTGGAAAGCTTGACGGTCCGCCGAGTTTGGAGATTGGATGGGTATCAACTTTTGACGGTCTGAAAAACCCTGGCATGAAGTGGGGTTTATGCCTGTTACTCATGCTCGGTTGCCAACGGGGTTGATGACATTATGCCGCCCTATCACGTTTCTTTACCTTGCTGGGTGTTGCTTAGTCGTGGTCATTGATGACATGTCCAAAGCCCCGAGTCTGGCTTGAGTAATGAGGTTTTGATGTATTTAAAACTCTAGAGTCTTTCCAATCCCGAGTCTTGGAGGCTAAGGCAGGCGAGAGTTTTTGAAGAACTCCGACAGCTGAAAAGGGTAGTTAGGGAAGCAAAACCTCCATCAAGTCGCGTATAACCCTACTTTAATGAAGGTGTTGTTTAGGTTTAGCTTATTCTGGCGAAACTCTGGGGTTAATCTTCATACTCAAGACATAGGCCCTGAATGATACACATAAAGCATCAGAGCAGCTCCCACATTTGCATGTTTCCAAGCTCAAACTTCCAATGTTTCAAACTCTCCAACTTTCGCTCTCAAGGTCTATGTCTTCAGATTTTGAAGCTTTCAAACTCTGGCAGATGGAAAATTCAGTCTTTGGAATTCTGAGACTTTTGGCAGCTTTCATCAAGCTTTCAATCTCAGACTCCTGAAACTTTCAAAGGCCTCTTTCAAGCTTTCCTTCCTCGAGCCCAAGTCCTCAACTTCACATCTGCCGCACTTCATACGCCGTCGCGGCTTCACACTTTCAATCTGAATTCCTGATCAAATGCTTAAACTTCAAGCTCAGCCAGTTGTAAAGTTCGATGGCTTAACCTCCAAACTTTCCAACTCCCCAATCTCGCCCTCCATCTGTTTCTTTCATTCTTTCAAGCTTCGTGCCGCAAGAGCCCACTCGTGACGCTTGACCAGTGGTCAGGGATTTTGAGAATTTCGCACTGCGCTGTGTCGTCGCAGGCAGACGCCTGCTGCGTGCCATCCTCTCGCGCATCGACAGGCCTAGAGAAAGAAAAAGAGAGAAGGAGTTCTTGCTCTTCGGTAGTCGGGGCTCGGCCAGCCAGCTGGAAATCTCTCGGCCCTGAGCTTGCAAAGCATGGAAGCATGGCCCCGACACATTCACCATGTGTAGTTCCTTCTGGGGTTGTGGGCTGAAGCTTCCGCTGTGCTGCCCCTGCTGCTGTTGCCGTTGCAGGGCCATGATCCTGATGGTGGTGGCGTCCGCGATGACGATATGATTTTAAAATTGAAGATGGGTGGCGTCGGCATTGGCAATGATAAGGGTTGTGGTGGTTTACACTGGCATTGAGGGCTTGGCGAGGCTGCTAGTGAAGGTGCCCGTGAGGTGGTCATGGTTTTGATGGCGATGGGTGGTGTTAGCGGCGATGTTCATGTTGAGTTGGGGTGATGGTGATGAGGAGGTCGAGGACAATGACGCAACACGCACTGCCGAGCTTGAAATCCCGCAGGACTTGGCTGAAGGATGTCAAAGTTAAAAGCATCCTTGAGGGGCTTCTGGGATTTAGGTTTTAGGGTGTAGGGTTTGGGTTATAGGAGTTCGGGGTTTAGGGTTTGACATGGATTTTGTTCGACATTCTTGAGCTTGGGCTTTGATGGGGATCTTGCGTGAGTCGACCAGAAGTCGCATACCGTAGGCCCTTATGACACCCAAAACCCTTGTAAGGCCCTGTTATGCCCATATGCAAGTACGTCTTTTTCTGACTCTGGCCCAAATCAGATCCGACCATGAGATTCTCGGAGACAGGATGCTGACGCAAGGCATGGTGTAGACGCTAGGACTTCCCTCTTCTAACCTTTGGGGGCTGGAATCTCAGAGCCACAGACCAAAACCGCGACCCACAGCTTCTAGACGTAAGAGAAGTCCGGTGGTCCCTGACTCGCAAGCCCGAACTCCAACCCAACTACGACCCTGAGCCTTGTAATATAGGGGCCTGAATAATTACCTATACTATTTTGGGGGTTCCTTATTATAGCTATAGTATAATATACCCCAAAGCCCTTTCCAATTATTAAGGCCCCCATAGTACTCTTTGATGCTGCGCGGTCTGGCCCGGCCCATGCTGTGGAGCTAGCTGAAACCTGCTGCTTGGCCGAGTCGACCGAGCAGGGTTTAGGGTTTAGGGTTTAGGGCTTAGGGTTTAGGATTTAGGGTTTAGGGCAATAGCAGAAGTAAGTACGGTTGTAAGGTAGTATACAAGCACCGCAGAAGTAGAAACCATATGAGTGAATAAGTTCATAAATAGACAACTGCATACACAAACACATTTTGTGTGTGTACATATATACAAATGCTTAAGTACATATGATTTATGAATGCATGAATGTATGAATGTAGATATGCGTATGTATGTATGTATGTATGTATGTATGTATGTATGTATGTATGTATGTGGGTAGGTAGGTATGTATGCATGTATGTGTGTATGCATGTATACAGACATAAGCATCTCGGCTCTGCGATGTCGGTCGGACGGACCGGCGTGAGCGAGTTGTGGGAGAAGGTTTGGTTTGGCTCGGTTTGGTTGTGGGGTTGTGGGGCGAACTTGAGTCTCAAGCTTGTGCAGGGCGCCTTTCTCTCTTGGCTTGGTTCGGGGATGCCGTGGCTGCCATGGAACTGGTGCCTGTTCATGGCTCCAATAAAATGCCTCGCTGGTCTGTTAGGCTCCACCAGCCCTCTGCTCTGGAGACCTTTGTGGAAAACTGCTTGCTGGGCCAACTCACGTGGCAATGGCTGGGGCTTGAGCTTTCAGAGACCCGCAGGCGTAAAGCTAGGCTCCGTGAACGCTGGGAGTCAGTGGGGGCCTTCAAAATGTGGTTTGATGCCTGGAGATTGCTGGACGGCCAGGGCAGGATCATTGTCCTTGACAGAACTTTGGGATATGATCGTCAATTTGGCTTGGCTATGCTACAAGCAGTTTATCTGTTTCAGGATGGCTTTCTGCACACCATGGACTAGGTTTTCGATTCGGCGAGCCTGGAATGGAGCCATACGACTCCCTCTTGCGAGCTGGAGTCCGGGACCGACAGGCCTGGCAGAGGCCCTCTGGTGTTGTCTAGTTCCGCTGGTTATGCTTGGTGCGGTTACAGGGGAACTAGTGTGCTGCCGTGGCCTGTGCATCATGAAGGCGACACACCGAGAGCAGGGCCCATCCTCACGATCTGCCATGATGTGCCCTTGCAGGTTTTTCACATCTGCTCATGCATTCTGTGGACTGCACTGCCTAGTGGCATGGACTGGTCGCTTTCGACCTCTGTCTTGGTTCGCTAGTGTTGCGTGGGCTCAAGGATTGTGGGGCTTCAAGGGGGCCGGCATGCACTCCCGAACGGGTGGCGGCACCAGCTCTCGGATGGAGGATGACTACACGGATGCCACTCCTGATGTGCCAGGACCTGCCCGCGGAGTACGGATTTGGGATGCACCACGAGGACCGCCGCCTCCCATTCCAGTCAACGAACCTCCAGCGAGGGCATTGTCATTCCCAGTAGCTGATGCACTTATCCGTGAAGGACATGATGTGCAGGTAGCCTTGACAGACATAGATGCTGACGCCCTGCGATCGGGCTTCTTGGGGATTCACCTGCAGTCTCTGCCGACTCGTGGAACAGCCCACCCGTGGGCCCTCTGGTGTGGCAGCGATGACGGCCCGATCGAGGAGGCTCGTGCTCGCACGGCGGGAAGGCCAGCAGTCGAGGATGACGAGGACCCAATCGCCGACTTCGATTTCGATGGGGCCGACAATATGGCGGATCCTGACTGGCTGGGACATGGCCACTCTGATGGCCCTGCTACGGCGAGCTCCTCGGGCGGTGGCCTACTTCCGGATAACTCCACTACCCTGACTTCGCCGGCTGCAACGACTTTGGCTACTCCATCTGCCAAGGCCAAGCCGAAAGCGAGGCCTTCCAGGAAGTGGGCTGCTTACCTTATGTGTGTCGCTGCATACCTTATGTGTGTCACTGTTCGGTGCTTCAGAGGGTTTGCCGGTGCACTGGGATGCCTAGCATGCTGCTCAGGCGAGCCCGCCCCACCAGACGTGAGTAGGCCAGCGGTATGTGATAGGACACAGGGATCACCTGATGTGATTTTGCTCCCTGTGGTCACCTCAAGCCTGCAGAGCTTCCATTGCCTCTGCCACGGAGTGGCATCTGCTGGAGCCTGGCAGCCCTTAACCGGCGAAGATATGAGGAAAACTGTGCTCAGCGGTGCCGTTGCCATTGCCACTGCGATTGCCAGTCTCTATCCCACTTCATGCCTGCCTATGACACGACTGGCCAGGTACAGTACTTGCGGGTCCTACAGAACGTGGCCGGTGGCTCGATCAAGTCTTGCATCAGATTTGTGCTACTTTGTCCTGATCCCAAGGATTATAAAGGTGAGCCAGGTCCTCTTCCTGAGCCACATTGCTTTTGCCTTGGGCGGCCTCCTCAGACTGATCCTGAACCACTTCCCAAGCCTCCCTACCGTACGATCTCCCTCAGCTGCGCACGTCGAACACAACAGCAGGTTGCCTACTCCCGGTCCTGCACCACGACATCGTAGTTGCCCCCGGGGCAGTCACTTTGGCCATCTACTATAGAGACTCACCGGCCTTTTCGTTTTCCAATGTCTCTTCTTTGAAACTACAGCAGTGGCTGCAGATGCGAGGGTTGAGTTCCCCGAACACCCAGGGAACTCTGGAGCCAATCAACAGCAAGCTCCAGCTTACATCAGGGCGAAGCATTCGGGTGGCGACAGCCACAGCTTCCCGCACCACTCAGGTGCCTGGCAGCCCAGGAAGCGTGCTTATGCACGAGCCATTCATCGTGCAGAGCTCAACCCATTGCACTCCACGTGGTATCGTGGTCGGAAAGTCTCATTAAGGCAACTCCAGCAAGGCGGCTCGACATCAATCAGGCCACCAAGTACATCATCAGGTCCTGCTGGCAGACACACCCTCACCAGATCGGCACAGGCCCCAAGATTGAAGGTGCTGACCTGGAACACAGGAGGCCTGAATGATACTTTGTACTATGAAGTGCTCACATGGCTTCAGGCTGAGGCAGAGGCCAACCGGGGTGTGGACATTTGCTTCTTGCAAGAGACAGCCTGGCCTGCAGACTTGGAGTACACCACCAAGTTCACGAACCGAGGTGCGATCAATTGGCATGTTGTTCACAGCGCGGGAAGTGAAAAATCGGATAAATCCTGCATCATGTGCCTTGTCCGCACAGGTCTGGTCAATGCAGATCAGATCCGGACGGCAGCCTTGATCCCAGGGCGTGCCCTTCACCTGCGACTGCTACTTGCCACACCGCTAGATTGCCTTTGCCTCTACCAGCACGCGTGGAACCTCCAGAAGGCGAGTCTGAAAGGCAACAAACAGGAGGCGCTGCTGAAGCTACGCAGGCGAATCTGGGAGCTACTAGACCGGTGGCTTCGAGCGACTCCGCAAAGGCACGGCTGCATAGTAGTCGGTGACCTGAACCAGTCGCTCCGGGAAGACCCTCCCACATGTGGACCAGGATGTCTACAGAGCAAAGAACCTCACCCAGATCAAGGAGAACTGATTGATGTTCTCCGAGCGCATCGCTGCTGCGTACTCAACACATGGTCCCAGGGGGGTGTCCCCGCGAGGACTTTTCTCCCTCCGCATGCTGCAGAGGATCGGCTTGGAACTCAGATTGACTTTGTCATCTCTCGGGGCAATCTGGTAGACTCAGTTGCCAAGCAAGCTCGACCGGTGCAAGCCCCGTTCGTGCCAACCGGCAGGTCAGGGCCAACCTCCACAATAAAGCCTTCGCACAGTGCCTGAGAACCCATGTGGTCCCTGGGCTTCAAACTCTTGCTGAGACAGCCTCCGTTGATGCTCAACTTCTCGCAGGCTGGAAGGCTACGACCTCGGCGATGGCCCAGGAAGGGTCAGTGAGATCTACCAGCCTGGTGGAGGACTTCGAAGGCCAACGACTTGGACAGGACATGGGACTTTGGAGACGTGAGGGCACCCCCTTTCGCCTCTACTTTCAGGCCTGGAGACTCTCGAGCCGTATACAGCAACAAGCCAGACAACTTCGGAAGGCCTGCCGATCCCGGAAGACGGCCAAGATAGCAGCGGTAGTGCAGGACGCCAACATTCACCAAGCAGCCAAACAGTTCGCCCCGAAGGTTCCCCGTCGGAGACTCGGAGACTTCAACTACGCCGATCTGATGGCAGCCTCCAAACCCATGAAGAGGAGTTCCAGCAAATTGTGGATCATTTCGAACTTCTCTACATGGGACCCCGTGCTCCTCACAGGCTTGCCTCCCTCAGGACCTGGCCATCACGACTGCCGAAATCCAACAGGCACTCCAACGTCTTCGTCCTGGGAAAGTCCTCCCCTCATCCAGTGCACCAGCAGCGTTATGGAAATTCTTCGCCCCGGAGGTCGTCGAGGTACTTCACAGACAATTCCAGGCTCACCTCTCAGCCGGCACAACCTCACTCCCCTTGGAGTGGAACCTCAGCGAGTTGGTCCTTCTACCCAAGGCTGGGAAGACGCTACGATCCCCGGCCCATTTGAGGCCGATATGCCTTCTTCCTCTACAAGCCAAAGTCCTTGCAGCAGTCCTTGCAGGTCGGTTACAACCCTTCGCGGTGGACTACCTACACGAGGTCCCGCAATTTGCCTATGTACCACACCGTACCCTCCAGCAAGCGTTGGATCGGGTTCTCAGTCACTGTGCTGCCGTTCGCACCCTGAGTACACAGAACCAAAATGACCCACATGCTAGGCGGCAAGGCAAGACAGGACTTCAAGTATGCGGAGGCCTTCAGTTGTCCCTTGATATCACAGGGGCGTATGATTATGTGCCGAGACAAGATTTGGAGGCGGCCCTGAGGGCAGCTGCAGTTCCGGACTCCCTGATCCAAGCAGTGCTGCTCATCCACGCCGAAGCGCGACTCCAAATCCAACATGGATCCCAGTCAAAGAGGATAAGCCTGAACCGTGGATTACGGCAGGGATGTTGACTGGCACCCATCCTTTGGGCGCTGTACAGCGCCTGGGTGCTGAGGCAGCTGCACGACCCTGAGATGCTTGACATCGCCCGGGCTGGCACAGTCTACGCAGACGACAAGCATTTCGCGTGGCTACTCAGGACTGGCAGGGATGTGGAGAAAGCCTACGCCGCGGTTCGCTATGTGCTCACCTCACTCCACCGGAGAGGCCTGTGTGTCAGCATGGACAAGACGGTTGTTCTCTTCACTCTTCATGGCCCACTGGCTATGTAAAACCATGGATAGGTACGTGGTGCGACTCAAGGATGGCCCTCACCTCAAGTTCTCCATTGATGGCTCTCCGGTCTATATCAAGGTAGTCCAGAAGCATGTGTACCTTGGGGTCGTGATCTCATATCGGCGATTCGAACGAGAAACATATGAGCACAGGCTACGTCTTGCTCGGGCTTCTTTATCGAGGCTAGGTATCGTACTCCGCAATCGCTCGATTCCTCAAAGACTCCGACTTCAGCTCTGGCAGGGCTGCATCTGGCCGGCCCTTCTCCATGGCCTCGAGTGTACCGGCCTTCCTCTAGCCGAAATGCAGGCTCTGCAAACACAGCTGATTGTCCAAGCCCGCTCTCTTGTGCGCTCGTACAGCATGTTCACGAGGGAAACCAATGTGGACTTTGTCAAGAGACTGCAGCTCCCCTCGCCGGTCCAGCGCCTACAACGAGCTTTCACCCGACGTTTGGAACTTGATGCACACCTAGGTCCATCGCTCCAGCTCACTGATGAGCAGCAGCAGTGGCGGCATTTGGTGAGAGGGCAGCTGTTTGCTACGATGGCCAACCTCTGGCAGCCCCAGTGTCTTGTGCCCTCTCAAGAAGCCAAAGCCAGAGTGGTTTGTGTGGAGAAGGTCCTACATGAAACCTTTGAGTGCGAGATCTGTGGCCAGTACTTCATGTCCCAAGCTTCTCTAGGCCACCATCAGTACAGCAAGCACTTTGCCGACCAACAGGAAGCCCGTGATGTAGAGAGGGCACAGGCGCGCAAGACCTCACCTATGGAACATGCATTGGACGGGATGCCCCAATGCCGTCACTGTAGGTATCGCTTTACGACTTGGCCGGCCTTCTTTTGTCACGTGAACAGTCGCAGCTGCGAATTCCTACGTGCCATTTATAGCCAGGACCGCCCTGAAGTCACAGTACTCCCTCTTTTGAACGAGTCGCTTGTGAACTCGGAGACATTACTCTCCCTTGCCAAGGACAGTGACTGGAAAGTTCTAGCTCAGGCTGAGATTGTCAGGTCCAAACATAATCACTGCCTTGAATGCAACCATTGGTGTGGCCGTCCACAATATGTTCGTCGACACATGCAGAAACAGCATCCAGAACGAGCCCCGCTGATTCAGAAATGCATTCAGGAGATCACTCGGAACAAGATCGGTATTCAGAACCCTTGTCAGTACTGTGGTCAGAGCTACACTCGCAAAGATGCTCACCTGCGGTCGTGCATAGGGATTTTCAATGGAGTCTACCTCCACTACCGTATTGCTCGAGGGGGCCACTTAGGACTGACAGGCCTGCCATCCGGAACCCTCGGCCAACATGTTCTTTCGGGAGGAGGGGGAGGGACCACTCCCCATGGAGCTCCAGGACCTACGGGAGGCCACGAAGGAGCTGCACATGATCCAGGGCATGGTGAGAGGACTGGAGGACCCGTTCGCCCTCTCGGACCAACTGGAGGACGACAGACCTCAGAAGTGGCAGCGCCAAAACCGGTTGGAGCCCCAAAGCGAAGGCAAGGGCGGCAAAGGAGGCAAGGGCCAGAAGGGGGGCTCACGCTCCTACAGATCCTGGCCCAACAAGCAAGGCCAGAGGCCACAGAAGGGAGGACCATCGACTCAGAACCCCCAGGGCCAGCAGGACTCCCAGATCGGCGACAGAAGGCTGGAGGAACTCCAAGCGGTGGTGAACCTCCTCACGACAATCGTCCTTCGACAAGAAGTTCAACTCAACATCTTCCACCAGGACACAGCCTATGTCATGTTTCTACAGGCTCAAGGACCGGGCAACTTGGCTCAGAGCCTGTATGCGGTGGGGTCGGGCTGGCATCGCACGAAGGAGCAATCACCGGAGCAGCTGACATCACCCATGAGAGTGGTACTGTTCCAACATGTGCTGGAGCGGGTGGCGAAAGGGTTCGAGGAGATGATGGCCTCCCCTTCATCCCGGTCGAAGGCCATCGAAATGGAGTGGCTGACCAAGGACGAGTCGCTGGTACAGGCGATGCGGTGGAGCCCCACGGAGAACAGGCATGTGGTGGCGGATGCACAGACACCCAGTACGATCCGCCAAGCCCTCCAGGAGCTCTTCATCCTCAGCTCGCAAGACTTCGTTGTCACACGGTTCCATGGGATGAGAAAGTTGGCGGAGGAGTACGAAGCTCCAATCCTGGGTATGTTCCTCGAGGTGGGCAACCGGGTGGAAGCAGCGCAGAAAGCCTGGCGATCCCTGCACCAATTGAGCGCCTTGAGCAAGAGATTGGCCGCCCTGACGCGGTAGAGAAGGCCAGGTTTGGCAATGCCAGTAACTACTGTTATGCCAATTCGCTTCTGAAAGCCCTTCTCCATGCAGCTTGTCAACCGGGCCAGTGCTTTAATGTGTTCAAATTGCAACATGGGGATTTTCTTCGTGGCTTGCTGCGTAGGGCCTCAGACTCCTTGGTGCACTTGTGGATGCACCCAGTTTGGCTCTCGGTCGTCAAGGGATGGCGATATCCGAGCAGACAGCATGATGTGGCGGAGTTTCTGACCTTCCTTTGTGAAGGCTCTCTGCTGGAGGTAGACCGCATTTCGCTACTCTGGCAATCCAGGGGCCTAGACGAAGGTGTGCCCCGCACTTTTGACGCTGGTGGCTCAGCTCCTTTGCTCTTGCCACCTCCGGGCAATCTTGAAGATGATTGTAACTGCTTGACTTCTGTTGGTTTTCTGCTTCGGAAGTGGCACGAGCAGGAGGAAAAGCATGCAGCCTTAGTTCCGACTCCGATAGTCATTTTGCAAATCAGTCGATTCCACTATGCAACTGACAGACCGAGAGCGAGTAAGCGCCGTTACGAGGTTGATCCTGATCCTTTCATTGGGATTCCTGTCTTCACTGATGGACTCCACTGTCAGTCTGCAGAGTATCGACTCAATTCTGTTATAGTGCATCTGGGCGAGGTCCCGGATATGGGTCACTACCAAACTCTCCTCTATTGTGCGATGTCTTCTAGTTTCATGCTTGCCGATGATGGAGTGCCTGCTGTGCGAATCTCGCGACAGCGGGTAAACTCCTTGAGAAGAGATGTTTACTTGTTTGTGTATGAGAGAGTGGTGTAGTCAGCGCCCCGCTTTTGGGCATTCGTGCCGGGGGCTACAAGCTCCTGGCTGCTGGGCGGAGGATGTGAATATCACAGCGTTGCCGGGCTTGAAGCCTGTCCTCCACTATTCGTAGCACAGTCGACGTCTGTGCAACGAGGAAAGTGAAAGTGAAAGTATACAGACATGTATGTAGGTATGAGTAGGTATGAATGTAGGTATATATGTAGGTATGTAGGCAGGTATTTAGGCATGTAGGTATGTAGGTATGAAGGTATGCATGCATGCATTCTATACACATGCACATCCATGTATATACATATATATATATATACATATATATATATATACATATGTATGTATGACATGTTATAATATATCGATGTAATATGGTGGGGTCGGTGGGGTCTAGGGTTTGGGCCGTTTGTGGTTTCGAAAGGATTCTGGGCTGAGGGTTCGGGTTTACGGATATACTGATCTGGGGTTGCGGGTAGGAGGTTGGAAAGCCATACTTGCAGCCAATTCCGTAAAACACAATCGACGTAAGTTGACAATCTGCGAACCTTTATGGCACCGCACCGGGCACCGAATAAACCAGACAGGAACGCTGCATCGTGAAACGATGAAATACACCGAAGGCGTGGCAGTGCCTGCGCAGTGTTCAAATTCTGGACTTGCAGACCGTGAACCCAAGCCCACAACTTTAACTCGAGGCAGCAAAGACCCTCAACCGCAACATGCTGAAAGAGCTGGCTTGAACACCACAGTCCTCAATGACAGCTTGGTTGGGTGCACTGCGGTACGAAGCTTGTGGTGTTTCTGTCACATCCGTTGAACTTGGTTGCAGTCCCACCCTTGATTAACTCGAAACCCGCCCTAAGCTCAAAACCCAAAGCCTAAACCTGAAAGCCTCACTTCCTAAAGGCATATAGCGGCCCTTACAGTAACCTTTAGTAATCCTAAACCCGAAACTGTCATTGAGAAACCCGAAAGTTTAGTGATGTTTTTTTTTAGGGTTCCTGAATGTAGTTCTATCAGAATATAGTCCAGATGCAACCTTCTACTTCTTAAGGCCTCCGGATTTGGAACACTTGTAGTATTCCATATAGAACCGCTTGTATACAGGAACCCTGAAGGGTTCCTGTAAGGGTTCCCTTAAAGCCTCATTCCAACTGTCATTGCAGACGGCCGCAAGGCTGAGCTCCCGCCTCCGACGATGCGGAGAACCCTGTCCCGAAAGCAGCAGATCGACCTTGTCGGGCGCCAAGGGTTTAGGGCTTAGGATTTTAGGTTTAGGGATGAGGGGTTAGGCTTTTAGGGGTTTGGATTTAGGGGTTTGGGGAGTTTCGGGCTTAAGATTAACCTTCCTGGGCCTTGGTAATTAAAATAGGTTTTTGCGGTATATTTTATGGCATATCCAGATAGGACCTATGACTGAGGGATACTGAGGGGATGCCATCAGCAAGCCAAGGTTGAGGGTTGCGTGTGAGATTAGATCGTCTAGGGTTCGTGTTTGGGGGTGTAAGATCTAGGGTTTAGGGCTAGGGCCCAAGGAACGCGTTACGGAAGCACAGTCCCTCACCCGAAACCGTGGCCCTCCGGGGAGCCGACTTGCCCCAGACGGAACATGGGATTGACAAAAAAACGACCCAAACTCCAAAACCCTAGATTCCAAACCGTAAACTCTATCAAGTCCCAAATGCTTAAAGAGAAGAGCCCGAAGGCCCAGGAGAACCAGAAACCATGACTCCGACCAGTAGAAGCAGGAATGCAGGCTTGAGAAGCAAGCATGTGAATTTGCAATCCTGAGCCCTAAGACTCTGAAGCCATCATGGCCAGAACGCCAAGCCTAGCTCATGATTGTTCTTTCCATTACCGTCTTTCGTGTTTGTTGACATCTTGCTGGTTCGGTTTGAATAGATGCCTTATCTTTCAGTGTACTTTTCGGTAGTATGTTATAGTATTTCACAATTTCTACTATTACTGATATTGCATGGTTCGTTCTAATACTATGGGCCCGGAAGCTTTCTGCTGATCTCTTCCCTCAATTGCGCAGTGGCATTCTGATCTACAGCTCGCTACCCCAAACTGACAGAAGCCTAGGTCGGAGTTTCCGAAAATTAGGGGTCCTAATTTTGGGGTCCTCATACTGTAATCCTGGTATTTAGGGTAATTACTATATGAGGATCCCCTGTTATCGGTAACTCCCAGGTCGTGAAGCTGGGCAGGAAGAATGCCTGCGTCGATCGCCTTCGCGAGAAGCTGCTCTCCACAAAGAGTCGGGGGTTGATCTTTGAAGGGGCCTTAATAATTAGAATAGGGTTTTGGGGGCCTTTTTGCTACAGTTTTCATAAGGAACCACCAAAATAGTACTGGTAATTAATTGTTTAGGCCCCTATATGTACTTTACGCCCTAAACCCCGAACTGAGCTGCTGGGATTTTCGGATTCGGGGTAGGAGGTCTACACCGTTGCGTGGGAGGAATGTGGATTGCGGCTTCAAAGGTAGGCCGTTGTCTTAAAGGGGCGACATTGATAGTCTTAACCACCAGAAATGTGTATCATTATTGCAACATGGTGCGAATTTTCCCGTGTCGTCTCTTTTGTAATTAAAGTCTAGTATGCCAACTCGTTCTAAAGCCTGACAGATGCCCCTGTGTTCGTGTAAGGAGGATTGCCCCAACGAAGCGCATAGACCGCTGAACAAGCATTGACCATTTATCTCCACCCTCTCACCAAATGGTCCTCACCGCCAAGAAGAAGGAAGCTAACCACTAACCCTGAACTCTCAATCCTAAACCCGGCTCCTTATGAGAATCATAGTATGATGTACCCCGAACCCTCCTCTAACTAGTAAGGCCCTCTATTATCGAATCCTGATAGAACCCTTGAAAGTAACCCTCTGCTAGCTATCAATGCTGCAAAATATCTTACTACCAACGCCGCAAAGTCAAGTCCCCAATGGGATCAGCCGTCAGGGTGCAGAGAGGTCAGGACATGAAGGCCGGCGGCTTGCAGCCTGGTGGCAGACCCGTTCTTACTTAGGGTACATGGTTGAGGGGTTTTAGGATTTAGGGGTTAGGGGTTTAGGAAAAAGGAGTTTTGGTTCAGGGATTTAGGGCTTAGGGTCTCTGTTTGTTGTTCTGAGCCGCTTGCTTTAGCCATGATGGCACTCCTTATAGTAGCCTCTAGGGATTGGGTTTTAGGTTCGATTCTTCTTATTGTTGGGGCGTTTGTGGTTCTCCACGGAGAATAGGGCTTTCGGGATGTCGAAGCGGTTTTGGTTCGGCCCGGGCGCAGGGTGCGGTCTTTGGGATCTTCGAGGAGTTGTTCAGGGGCCAAACTTAGCAGTGTTTCGGATTTAGGTTTTAGGGTTTAGGGTTTTGGATTCAGGTCTTAGGGTTGAGGGCTTATGGGGGTTTAAGGGGCCAAGCTGCAGTCAACCTTTAACATCTAGCGCCTGCAGCCTTTCTGATCCGTGCCGCAGCATCGCTTGACGTTAGCCAGTGTCAGGGTGTAGCCTTTGTTTTGGTTGGGATACTCTGGGCTCTCGTGCTTCTTGGGCCCGGGCTGCGTGACCAGCCAAGGCAGTTCGACGTTAGCATCATCGAGGCAGGGCGAAGGGCAACCCTAACCTAAATTCAAGATGTCTGGCCTTTGGAATCGCAGGTGCCAGGATGTCACTGCACGTCATGCCACAGGTCAGTGGGTCGTGAGACAGGTGGGGTGTAAGGCTATAGTCGAAGCACGGAATCGTTGAGGACTGAAGCCGTGGTGGTTCCCCAGATCGCACCGTGCTGTGGAACGGAATGCGTCTCGCACCCAAAATATGCGGAACGAAATGTTTGGAGGCAGCAACATGAGTCGCGGTCAACACTTGCACGGACTGTGGCAGGAGCACGATGTTCGGCAGGCAGAAAAGTTGCGGGTCTGAGGGTGGGGTCGGCGGAGGTTGCACGGAAACACGCGCGACGGGAGCAGGATGCCCTCTGAACCCTCAGCCCTAAATCCTAAACCCCCGCCCTTAATTCCTAAGCCCTGAATCCTACACCCCCCACCGTAAATCCTAAACCCCCCACCCTAAATCCTAAACCCCCCACCCTAAATCCTAAACCCCTAACGCCGAACCCTAAACTCTAAACGCAAAACTCCGAAGCCCGTCAAAACACTGGGACTCAGAGCCGAAATTCGACAAGCTTTTCGGGGTGGAACACTCCAAGAGTGTGGGATTTTATGAGGGTGTTGATCAGAATTTTTTGGGTGGTTTTTGAGGGTTTCAAGCGGTTGTTTAGCTTACTATAGCGGGCTTGCTGACTAGCATGGCGTTCCGCGGTATGTTCAACTCTGACCATATTGGGCTTGCCAAAGATTCCGGCAGAATTTGTTAGACTCCTATGTCAGGGTGGCTTGGGAGCAACACCTGAAACCCTAAACCCTGAGCCCTAAACCCTAAACCCTCAACCCTGAACCCTCAAGCCTGAGCCCTGAGCCCTAAACCCGGCGCCTTTGACCCCTAAGCCCAAACCCGGGGCCAGGAGGCGGTTCGGCAGCTGGAGAGGGAGGCGGGGCGGCAGCTGGAGAGCGAGGCCCACTATTCTGTGTACTTACATTTGGCTAGTAGGGAATGGAAGAAGGGTTATATGGTAGTAATATGGTAGTAATAGTAGTTATAATTGTACCCCATTCCTCCATTCCCTAGTAAACCAAGGTAAGTGCAGGGAGAGGGGGTTGCCCGAAGAGGTTTTACGGTCCAGGGCAGAGTCCGAGGACCCTCAGGGTTTAGGGTTTAGGGGTCTAGGGTTTAGGGTTTAGGGCCTAGGCAGAAATCGAAGGGCTCGTGGCCTAGGATTTGTGGGTGTTTGGGTAGGGCCCACGGAAGAGTGCAGGTAGATTGTAGATTGTTGTGGGGTTATGGTTGGACATATTGTAAAGCCGAAGCCCCAAACCAGAGACCCTAAAAACAAAAATCCGCATGACAAGTTTGCAGTGTAAACTTAAATCGAAGCTCTTTTTTTTGACAAGGGTTGCAAGCAGTTTGTCTTTCCTGATGCTGTAGCGGTCGTAAAGATGTAGCGTCGGATTTGTGGGTTTAGGATCTCGGGGCTTGAGGTTCGGGTTGAAGGGGTAGAAGGGTTTAGGGTTTAGGGGTTTAGGGTTAAGGGGTTTAGGGTTTGGGGGTTTAGGGAGTTAAGGGGAAAAGGAAGGACGATGACAGCATGGTTCTCCATGACCACCTTGCCGAAAGCCGCTGATACTCCTACACCCTCACCACCAGCAACATCAGCTTTAAGCCAACAGCATACGAGTCGGTCGATAGTCAAGATAGCGATAATGAGGGCAACAGCAAAAATCACGGACGTTGCTAGCTACAGTCTCAGAGCGACGAAGCACCAATCGATAAACAGTACTTTGAAAGTTTCTTTAGGGAACTGAATTATTTGCCTATACAATTTTGGGGGTTCCTCACCATAACTATCGTGTAGTGGGCCCCAAAACCCCGGGTCTGATAATTAAAGGCCCTACAGTAATTTACTTTGCTTGTACCACCATGGCGATCCGCGTCGTTGTGTCACTGCTGAGCGGTCGACATGTGTCCGTGGAAATCTCGGCGGACGCGAAGATCAGCTCTTGGACGAACATTAATTATATATATATACACGTAACAGTTATATATATATATATATTATATTATATTATATTATATTATACTATACTATATTATATCATATTATATCATATCATATTATATTATATCATATTATATTATATTATATCATATGATATTATATCATATGGTATTATATCATATTATATTATATCATATTATATTTTTCTAAATTATATTTTATTAAATTATATTTTTTATTTTATATTATATTATATTATATGATATGATATTATATGATATGATATGATATGATATTATATGATATGATATTATATGATATGATATTTTATGATATTATATTATATTTTATTATATTATATTTTATTATAGTGTTTTTTATTATATTATATGATATGATATTATATGATATGATATTATATTATCTTATATTATATCATCTTATCCTATATCATCTATATTATTTTATATATCTTATATTATATTAATTATACTCATTATATTATATTAAATTAAATCAAATTATATTATATTATATTATATTTCATTATATTATATTAAATTAAATTAAATTAAATTAAATTAAATTATATTGTATTATATTATATTATAATATCTTATATTATATTATATCATATTATATTATATTTCATTATATTATATTATATTATATTGAATTATATTAAATTATATTAAGTTATATTATATTATATTATATTTCATTATATTTTACTATATTATATAATATAATATAATGTTATATTATATTATAGAATATAATATAATATTATATTATATTATATAATATTGTATTATTATATATTATATTATATTATATTAAATTGTAATGTTGTCATGATTTTAGAGGCTTCTACTAGGATTTAGTAAGTTTTTTCTTAAATCTGGGTTTGCAGGGTTTCGTGCGGTCTTACAACAGTTTTAATAGGAGGTTTTGGGAGGGGTTATGGGCGTCTTTCAGAATTATGGTAGCTTCCTGGCTGATCCTTCCAATCGCTTCAGGACCTTTTTTCGGACACCCCCACGTAAACGGGCTTTGTAGGGATTTACAGAGTGTAGGGTTTGATGAAGCCTGTAAAACCCAGAATCGCAAACCTCGGTTCTGCACCCGATCTTTGTAAGGATTATCCAGCAGTCGGCAGTTGTTTAGGATGGGCCATTGTCTTGGTACGACCTCCGAGATCACTGCTGCGTGTCGTGCTTCGTCCCAGGTATGAGTTGTGCCAAAGAGAGCATTCTTCCTGCATGACCCTGCAGCATTCCACTGTAGCCTGCCTGCAGTACCTTACCCAAGTCTAAGCCGCGGACTTCACCCCCGAAACCGTGAATCCCACAGTCGAGGCTCTCTGCGATGCCGGTCCGCCTCTGAGCTAGGCCGGGTCATGCTGATTCAGGGGCTTAGGGCTTAGATCCGATATCCTCAAGGCTTCGGGCTGGGGATTCGGTGCATATTTCAGACTGTGGGATTAGGTGCAGAGTTTTGGGGCGAGGGAATTGGGATACAGGTTTTGGCTTTATTATGAGAGGTTGATAAACCCATGAGAGAGAGGAGAACTCGGAGCCAACTTCTTCCTAGGAGCCCTTCAATTCCAACAGAGGCGCCCGGCTATGTGCGCTGGCCAGCCCATGGGGAGGACTCCTCCGCGATGCCGACACTCTCGCCGAGGCAGCTGGTGTAACGTTTGTCAGGATCGCTACAAGCGTTGTACACTGATAACTGAACGGATTACTAGAAGGTTACTATGAGGGGCTGTAAGGTTTGCTATGAAGGGGTCGTCGAAGGGCTGCTATCATGCAACTCTTTAGCCCTGCACCTGCAAAAAAGGTTGCACCCGCCCTTCTCAACCTTCTTCTGTTTTTTCTGGACAGGTTTCGACCTCATGCAGTGGTTGGTCTTAATTGACAAGTCTATCGCCGGGTCATGATGATGATGAGGATGATAATGTTATTGACGATGATGACGACGAAATCCTGGAGTCGCTTAAACCCAAATGCTTAACACCATCGAGTCGATATCCCTAAGCCCTGAAACCTGAAAGCCAGTTGCCGAAGTCCTATGACCCGTAGCACCAGTAGCACCCGCTTAAGCTTACCCGAGTAGCACTATGACGCCCACCCTTTCAATTTAGATTCATCCCCGTAGTCACCGTTATGGTCACCCTTGTTTGCGGACATGGCTCACCACCGCTCTCTGAGGCTGGGGTCAAGGATGGCGACACCCTGACGGCCATCGCTCGGCACACGGACGTGCTTCGATATCTGATGATGGCTTTCATCGGGATTCTATACAGAGGTCAGACAACTTAGTAATACTATCTTAGGGCTCCTTGTTTCAACTTCTGCTGTACTATACCCCGCAAACCCAATTCCAGTGATTAAGGCTGCTATATTACCCTAAGCCCCAGGTGCTGATGTCTCGTGGTGCCTGCGCCAAGCTCCTCAGTGACGGCTCTGTGGAAACCCGGGGTCGCTTGGCTGAGTTTAGTGTTGAGCTGTGGTTTAGAGTTTAGGGTTGAAAGGGTGGGGTGATGGGTGTGATGAGGTTCCGGGCGCGGGTGCTGCAGGGTTCTTTGTGCTGTTTTTGGTTTTGGGTACATTTTGAGGTATGCCTGTTTTTAGGATTCGCTTTACTGTTTGAACGAGGCTGTTGGCTTACTTTGCGCATCGGGGGCTGCAGGGAAATGACACTTTGTTCCAGCAAGCCTGGCGCTTCAAAATTGCGGGTTGAAGGAGGGTGTACCCCAGACCCTACATTAACTTGAAATCAGGGTTCAGGGTTCAGGGTCTAGGGGAATCCCTAGACTGTGAACCCTGAATCCCTGCCTTCGGCCATCAGCCTGAAATCATTGCCTGTTTTCGGGTTTCGCAGCTGAGGCCGGAAGGACTACGGCGGGGACTCCTCATCGGTCCAAGATCCTGGGCGATGTGGGGTTTGGAGATTGGGAGGTTTCAGCAAAGAAAAAAGACCCCGAGTAGTAGGATGCGGAATAGAAGGAAGCCAACACGATGCCTCGAGGTTGAACATCAAGATGAAGGGCTGAAGGTCTCAAACTTTCGCGGATTCGGGGCATGCGAGGTGAAGATTTGGGTACAGGCTTAACTTAGGGTTGAGATGAGCTTTGCTACTGCGGTTGCTGAGGGAAACCATGCATGGACGCAAGGGGTATGGGGTTTATGGCTTAGGCCTTGCTTCCGGTTTTGGCCGGTGCAGGGTTCAGGACGCAAGATGCTTCAATTTTTTTTAAGCTCAGGTCTCCTTTCGGGCTATCGCTCTAGGTCTCTGGACTGATTCGCCCACTTCAAGATGCCCAGGCAGCCCAAGACCCCTAAGCTAAATACTCTTCCTTGAATCATATAGCTGCTTCTTATATCTTTTAACGGAGAGTGCCCCACTTGAGTGTTATGGGCGCCTGGCGTACCCAGAACCCTTGTACGACAGAGAAAACTATTGTATAAACCGCGTATACAGCCCTACGGCTCGGTGGAAGTGTGTAAAAACCCCCTTAAAACCCTTATCAAACCTAAACCCTAAACCCTCAGTGTTAATCTCTTGGGTCCTACGCTCCCAGGAGAGGTTGCGCGACGTGCACCAGCTCCAGGCGACGAAGCACCCGGCCGGCACGGGTGTAAGGTCTAGATTGTTGGATTCTAAGATTTAGTTCTTAGGTGTTTCATTGATTTTCCTGGTTTTGGTGTAGAGTTTGCTTGTATGTTTTTGATTTTTGTGTTTGAGGTTTTGAGGCTTTAGATGTTGTTCCGGTTCAGACCTTCGGGTTTTTAGGCTGTACGCTTTTGGCCTTAGGGTTTAGGATTCTATTTTTTATCGGACCGTTTTAGGTGTAGGGTTTGAGATTTTCAGACTTTTAGGGTTAGGGTTTAAAGGTTTTTAGTTTTTTTGGGTTTAGGGTTAAAGGTGTTTAGATTCTTGCGTTTAGGTTTTTGGCATTGATCGAATTCTTTGTGTTGGCTTTAGGCTTGGGATTCTTTGGCGGCTTGGAGCTTATATAGGGGTTTTAGATTTGGGGTTCCGGGTTGAGGGTCGGTAGTTTTTTGGTTATTTAACCCCAAGCCACAAAAACCAAAACTGAGAACTCCTAAGCCCAAGACCCAAGGCTCTAAAGCCCATCCCCCGCCTCCTGAAAACCAATGTCAATGTGCTGGGCAGACGCCCAGGTACGCATTTGCAGCGCTGCTTGAGGATGGCTCCGTGGTGAACTGACCGGCTGTTTCTGGCTTTTCACAAGTGTGATAAGGCTGTTCCATAGGTTTGCATGAGGGCTTGTTGAAGCTTTGCGATGCTTGGTATGTTTTTGGTTGATAAGGGTTGTGTGGGTTTCAGGATGTTATGATATGTTCCTCGAATTCGCATGCGTTTTCGCGTCCTTACAACACGGCTCCTGCTAGACTCCAGGTCCATTTCATGTCCTCGGAAACTCGCTGATAGAATTTCGTAAGTGGATAGATAGATGGATGGGTAGGTCGATCTACAGATAGATCTTGAAAGGGGTGCAGCCTTCAAGGTAGATCTAGGGATCCTTACGGCCACTTCGTCGCGTCGAAGCATAGACTGCCGCATTGCAGCGCCACCTTGCGCCCCTGGCCTTGACACTAAACGGCAACCAAAAGTGACAGCCACGTTCACGAATCAAGGTCAAAAGGAAGTTTGAGACCCCTCGCACAGTAAACCTTCTGTCATAGTTGGGTAACAGTTTTTACATGTTTGTGCACCTAAGCCCAGGAAGGAGCAGAAATTATCATTTTAAATACTATCCCAACCATGGACCAGCAACCCTGAACCTTCGGCTTTGGAAAGGCGAGCTCTTCAACCATGATTGCTCCTTCTCGGGCTGGCAACACGCATGATCATACAAGTGGTAGTTTTGGTACTAATACCCGTTTAGGTAGCCAGAATAGCTCGAAGCCTTGAACCCCCATATCCTAAGTCCTAAACCAGTAGCCAGACCGATGATGGCAGAAGGTGACCTGGGGCCATCCGCTGCGGGGTGGAGACAGCCGAGCGGTGCAGGAGAGTGGAGGGTTTCAGCGCGCAGGGCGGTACAACGACAGGAGTTACGATTGGGTTCAGAGTTTAGGGTTTAGGGATGCCTAAACCCTACGGCCCTAAACTGTGAGGTTTTAGGGGTTAGGTGTTCAAGGCTTCAGAGGGTCGGGGTTTGAGGCTTCGAGAGTTGCTAATGTAGGGCCGGGGTCGGAACTTTAAGAACTTCGGAATACGGCACCTCTTAGTAGTAGTAGTAGTAGTAGTAGTAGTAGTAGTAGTAGTAGTAGTAGTAGTAGTAGTAGTAGTAGTAGTAGTAGTAGTAGTAGTAGTAGTAGTAGTAGTGTAACCCTGACAAAAAGTCTCACCTTATAGCAACCCCGGATCTGGATCTGTGGGTTTTCACATTGCGGGTAAAGGGGGATCAGGTCCTTGGTGCGCTTGGGGTGTTGGTTGTAGAAGCTCCAACCATTTCTTACACTTTTCCTTAGGGTTCCTTGTCATAGTTATAGCATAATGTACCACAAACACCTCAACTGTTCTGATCATTGACTAGGTGGCAATTTGGGAAACTTTTTAGTTTCCCGTATGGTTCCTATAGAGGTACCTATTCATAAATACTTTTCAGAGCCCCAAAACTACAACCCAGTTAAGGTTCCCCCCCCATATTACCGGGCCCGGTGGGTCGGGGCGTTCAGGGTTCAGGCTATCGGATCTGTGGAGGTGTGAATAATTCGCAGTAAGACGCCACTGTAATTCGAATAGGGGTTCCTTTAAAGGGGTCCTTTAAAGGGGTCTATAAGGGATGTATAGTATGGTTCTAAAATAGGGGCCTTAATGCTTAGAGTAGGGCATTTTCCCTGTATGGCCCGTCATCATGATATTGTAGTATACACCAACCAAGGTCTCCGCTGGTTATGAGGCCCATGATCATATCAATCCCGATCCTCGCTGGGACATCTTTGCTAGATCCGTCTTGTCATCAGGAGCAGCTAAAAGGCGTGAAGCAGATCCAGGCTTGGGTTTAGTGCTTTGGGGTTTGGGTTTTATGGTTCTGGGGTTAAGGTTTTGAATTTTAGGGTTTAGGGCTTCAGGGTTGGGGTTTTGGTGTTTTAGGGTGGTTTTCAAGTTTCGGGGTCAGGGTTGTAGGGATTCTGGTCGAATATGGGACTGGAGCGTGGTCTTGAGGGGAGAATACTTCAGCTACTACAGCTATAGAAGGACTACAGCAGGATCTTCCACAATCGACACCCCTGCCACGGCTGAGGGTTGTGGAGGAAACCTGACCTTGCGTCGCTTGACATTTTGAGCTTGCAGTGTGCCATCTTACAAGGTTGAGAAGCTTTTCAGGTGCTGCCGGGCTGTGTCTTGTCGTGGATAGGAGTGTATCTGCGAAGATAATGACAAGGTCGACATCCGGGTTCTGTTTCGGACACAACCCCTGAGCTCTAAGCCATTACCCTGCAACGCAAAGCCCAAGACTCATGCCAATGCAACGAAGCTTGAATGGGGCTCAGGCTTCGAAGGGCTTTACGATTCAGGCTCCGTGGCTAAGTCAGCTACACACTGTGTCCAGGCTACGAACTTAGCCTTTGCGGCCATTTGCTACAACGGCTCTGTGGCAGCTGAAATGCAAGCATGGGTCTTTCGGAGGTCAGGGAATTAGCACGCAGGGCTCAGGAAGTAGGGTTCTGGTTTTTGTGCTGCAAAGGCTGGCACAGGGCAACCACGATCGCGAGTGTGCAAGTATTGCCGACCTTGAAAGGGACAACTGGTCGTGGGTCTTCGCTATCATGTGCTGTGCCAAACTTGGTTTATCTACAAATGCAGCTCCGGTGTCGGTTTGAGGCTTTCGGGAAGCCCCCGTCATGCTTGGCTGGGTCGTTCGCAGCCAGGTAACGTGGGGCGACGACTTCTCCGGCGGCGACAGCTCCTTCCTGCAGGGCGAGCTGCAGAACGTGGAGAAAATCCAGGACGGCCTCCTTTCCGTGGTGCTTCGTAGGGAATGGCGCAATGGAGCCTTCTAGTAGTCCCTACACGTATATACTCCCCAATAATAGCCCGGCTCCCAAATTTAAGGACCACTACACCACGCAAGTCAACCCCCCTACACCGAAGGACTGGCTGGTTCTTAGTAGGGAATGGGGGAAGGGGTTACGGGGTCTTGTTCGGGTCCTGTATTTCCTGAACCTGCCCTCGAGGTTACTTGTTGTTTCGAGTGAAGCTTGTGGTTTCGAGTGAAATCACAGCATCCGAGGCTTGAAGCCCTCGAACCTAAACTCAACCTCTCGAACCCCAAACTCCAAGCTCGAAGCGCCACAGAGCCTACACACAATCTGAGCCCCTCCGAACCTTAACCCTAGGCCCTAAACCCCGAACTCACTCAGCCGAAGAACTCCCTGAGATCCCTTAGCAGGCCTCTTATTTGAGCCCTCAAAGCAACTCTATGACCCCTGGTCTAGGGTTGAGGGTTAAGGGCTCACGCAGAACCCCGAGTAGGCGAACGACTTCTCCTTTGCCGCGATCCGTTCAGATGGCTCCGTGCGCTGGCTAGACATGGTGTTGGGTCTTTGAGACTGAGGGGTTTGAACCGCAGGGTTTCGGGTTTGGAGTTTCAGGTTTGGGTGTTTGACCCTAAATCTTAAATCCTTATAACCCTTTAGGGTTGGGGTGTTTGGGGCGTTTTGCAGGGGTATTTGGCGGCCGGGGGGTTTTTGGAGGGTTTCTGGGTCCTATTACGGGGGATACTTCGGGCTTGGGTGTCGGGCCTTGGAGCTCAGAGTGTGGGTGTTTGGGGTTTGGGGTTTTAGGGTGTTTGGGGGTTTCAAGGTTTCGGAGTTTCGGGTTTTGGGCTTTCAGGCTCAAATCTACAGCCGAAGCCCTGAGCCCTGAAACCCCCAAAGCCGGCAATGGCCTTCAGGGAGGTTTCGTTTAGTTTCGGGCTCAGGGTCTTTGGTATGGAGGGGTACTGGAACCGCCGAAGTGGGAGTTTGAATGTGGCCTGACTCCTGCAGCTTCCAGCTCATCCTCGCTCACGCCCTAAACCCTAATCCTGCGTTTGATTTGATGCCTGCTCAAGAAACAACAAATCCTGCGTGTGAACGCTGACCGCCTTGATTCTTACCTTGGGTTAGTGGGGAATGGAAGAATGGTAGCAATAGTACTCCATTCCTCCATTCCCTTACTAAGCAAAGGTAAGGAACGGGCCACAGCCTGTGCGCAGTCTCTGCCAAGACGACTCTCGAGCTGACAGCTAGCAAAAACCCTAAACCCCCTTGAGTCCCTAGAGCCCGACAGCCCCAAAGCCCTTATTCCCTATAGACCCCAGCCCGGTAAGCCCTATAAACTCTATGAGCCCTCTAAACCCTGCAAGCCCCGTCAGCGTTGTAAAGCCTCATGGATGTCCTAAGCAGCAGAAACCTAAACTCCGACACCTAAAGCTTAAGGTTTCGGAAACAGAAGCCAGAATTTCTAAATCCTGCGTAGAACCCTGTGATGCCTTGGACTGCCGAGTCAAGCCGAGGTGGTCACTTGGGGAAGCCTCCACAGCGGCGGTGACTGCAGCGTCGTGCGAGAGGACCTGAGGCCCTGCCGCGCCATTTTTTTGGTTTCTGGTTTCGTGCTTCGGGTTTAGGGTTTGAGGCCTTTTGGCTTTTGGTTTAGGGCTTGAGGTTTGGGGGTTTTAGGGTCTAGGGCTTGAGGTTTGGGGTTTTAAAGGGCTTAATTTAGGGCTTGAGGTTTGGAGTTTCAGGGTTTAATTTAGGGCTTGAGGTTTGGAGTTTCAAGGTTTAGGGTTTGGGTTTTTTTAGGGTTTCGGGGTTCAGAGCTTCGGGTTTAGAGCTTAGGGCACGATAAGGGTTTCTATGAGGATTGAACAAAGTTTTTTAATAGGGGTGATTGTATCCGGAGTTCAGTGATGTATGTGTCATTGTCTGGTTTAGGGCCCATTGTGTGAGGAAAAGTGTTGGGGGTGCTTAAGGGTTTAAGGACCTAGGGATGTAGGGCTTAACATGGAGCTGTTAAAATATTTGCAGTTATGATAGTCATATTGAACTTGGAATTGCTCAGGCCTCTATACTAAAAACTTTTGATTGCTAGCTAAGTGTTTGGGGTTTCAGGATTTAGGTTATGGTTGCCGTGGTCCGGGGTTTGGGGCTTATAGGGTTTCGGGCCCGCAACCACAGGCCTACAACTCCTGAGCCCACACCATATATCTTATACCTCACCAGCCTTAAGCACCCGCTCCGTTAACGCTACTGTTTCTCGGCTTTCAGCACTTCGATGCGCCCAAGTGCTTAATTTCATTCACATGTGTTCAGGCCCCATATGAAGCCACACCCGTAGACACGATTGTGGGGGCCTGATTTCTTGTAGCCTCATTCCGCTTGGTATACTGCACCTGTACCCGCACTACCCGAAACGCGACCTCCCAAAGCTGCCTGATGCTAGGGCTGTAGTGCACCCATCCCCAAGCACGCTACACCTTAAGGGCCATTGGGTTTGCAGGGTGTTTTTTTTTCTAGGGTTTAGGGTATCGGTAAAGGCCGGTATAGGGTTAGATAGATCCACTTCTTCCTGCTCCCTAAACCCTACATAAACCCTAAAACGTCGGCACATTTCGATCTGCTGCTCATACTTCCTGACTTGCAGGCATTGGGCCCAGGAAGGTGTCGAAAACCGCAGACTTTGAAACAGAACCCTATAAAATTCTAAAGGTCTGACTCTTTAGCTAGTAGTACTAATCCTTGGGGCTGCTTGCGATATTTCCGCAATCATACATTGTTTTAGCCCAAAACCTTGCAATCTAATGATGATAGCATTATGTGCCTCAACTTTCTGTTCTAATCAGAACCCCGTGAAAATCCTGCAAACCCCCCAAATCCAAAAGCCTACACCCTAAACCCCAAGCCCAAAGTCCTGAATCCCAAAAGCCCCAACCCTACACCCTAAACCCCAAGCCCAAAGTCCTAAATCCCAAAAGCCCCGACCCTACACCCTAAACCCCAAGCCCAAAATCCTGAATCCTAAAAGCCCCAACCCTAAACCCTAAACCCCAAGCCCAAAGTTCTGAATCCCAAAAGCCCCGACCCTACACCCTAAACCGCAAGCCCAAAACCCTGAATTCTAAAAGCCCCAACCCTAAACCCTAAACCCCAAGCCCAAAGTCCTGAATCCCAAAAGCCCCGACCCACCCCAAACCCCAAGCCTTAAATCCTGAATCCCAAAAGCCCCAACCGTATACCCTAAACCCGGTGTCAACGTGGAAGGATGGAGATGGGGACAAGTCGCCCAGCGTGGTGTGGAGTCGGGGTGCGCGGAAAGAAACCGGGGCAAAATACCGTGTACTTGGATTCGTGTTAGTGCCCGCGCGCCCACATGTCGGTACTGCCAGGCTCTAGAACGCAGCTGGAAGAAAGCATTCATCCGGCAGCCATTTCCCTTGCTGCTTTCACAGCTGCCCCGTGCAAACCTCGTTCTCTGCTTCCAGTATCCAGGACGCTTCCTGCCCCTGCGTAATCCGTCGGGGAAAACCTGCATCCGTGCACTCATCAGGAGATGCCGGCCGTCTTCGGAACGGATGCAGATGTAAAGGCAGGCGCGCGCCGGTCCAAGCTTCCACTTACGACATTTAGCTGCACAGGCTGCCCTCGAAGTCCGCGCACCTACGGCAATGGAGAGGATCCGTGCTGCAGAAAAGGACATGCAAGAGAACGCTATGCGGCAATTGCTGCATCAGGCACGCCTCCTTTTGTTGGACTTCGAAGAGGTCCACTTCGACTGTCTCATTCGGGAAGAGGGAGGTGGGCAAGACGGCAAGCTGAAGGTGCTTTGCGCTCGCCCGACCGAACTTCCGCAGTCACAAAGCATCATGGGTTTGTATCTTCTCCATGCGGACGGCACCAAAGAACTCGGTGCTCTACTGCCCGGAGGGAGTGGTGCTACGGGTGCCCTGTACCACTTCTACGGTACCGAGCAGGAGGGCGGCCGGAGAAGACTGCGTCGGAAACACCTCATAGAGTTCTTCACGAACCAGAAGATCCGTCGGATTGGACCCCAGGGCACCCGTCAGAACTTCTTCGTGAAACGGGTCACCTTAACCTGCGTCGCTTGGTGAAGGCGTGTCCTCAAGCTTCTATACGAAGCACAGAGAGGTGTTGTTTCCTGACTGCAGGCTGGTCTTCAGTCTACGACTCCCAGGCGCGACAGTGCGTCTGTTGCTCGCCGCACATGGAAGAGTTGCGTGGCAGGCTTCGGACGCCGCTTTGGCAAGACGCAGCCGTGCCCCTACCAGCAAAAGGGATGTCGAGTGAATTGCCGCCGATTGTCCAGGAGTGCGGCCTTGCTACTTCCAGCCCCGATTCCGCAGTGTACCAAACCTCGACTTAGAGATACCTCCAGCCATCGACGGGAGCTACCGTGCATGTAGGCCAACTGCATCACGGAGTTGGATCTTTTCGGTCAATATATCAAGACTCTCACACAATGAAGCGCGCAAAGTCCTGAATCCCAAAAGCCCCGACCCTACACCCTAAACCCCAAGCCCAAAATCCTGAATCCCAAAAGCCCCAACCCTAAACCCTAAACCCTCAGCCCAAAGTCCCGAATCCCAAAAGCCCCAGCCCTGCACCCAAAACCCCTAGCCCAAGATCCTTCCTAAAAGCCCCAACCTTAAACCCTAAACCCCAAGCCCAAAGTCCTGAATCCCAAAAGCCCCCCAGCGCCGGAGGCACGTGGAGCACGTCCAGTCCTCGGAAGGCGCCTTCGCAGCCATCTGCGCGAATGGCTCTGCCGATCGGACGCAGAGTTTCCGAAGATTAGGGTTTGGGGTTTAGGGTTTAGGGCGTACTATAGGGGCCTAAAAAGATTATGAGCAATATTATTTCGGGGGTTCCTTAGTATAATCATAGTATACTATCTGGGAGTTTAAGAAGATTAGGCGTACTGGGTCCTTAAAAAGAGGATCCTACTAGATTAGGGTCCCCCATTTTCGGAAACTCCTATCTCGGTTCTGGTTAGGGAACTTGGTGTACTATAGGGGGCTAAAAAAAGTTATGACCAAAACTATCTTGCCGGTTCCTTAGTATAGTTATAGTATAACGGGCCCCAAACCCTATTCTAATTATTAAGGCCCCTATGTTTCACGCCCAGAAGAGCCGAGCTAGAGCAAGTGAGGTAACCCTAAACCCTAAACCCTAAAGTATAATGGCTCCAAAATCCTGTTTTAATTATTAAGGCAACTGTGTTGTCCGGGTTCTGGTTAGAGAGCTTACTTTAAGTTACCATCATCAGGAAACATTACGGTGACGTTCTTTAAATATATGTGGCCCTGCCAGCCGCACTGGCCGCAGAGGTACTATAAAATATTCGCTTAAATCAGTATATGTAAATCCCAGTATGACGTGATCTAGCCTTCAGTCTTAAAAAGGTGAAGGCTGGAATGCTGGAGGGTTGAAGGCTGGAAGGGGTGAAGGCTGGAAGGGTTTTAGGGCTGGAGGGGTTGAAGGCTGGAAGGCTTGAGGGGAAGGCTGGAAGGCTGGAGACTGCAAGGGCAGGGCTGGAGTGCTGGTTGGAGGTTGGCTTCCACCCTAAACCCTGAAACGCTTAAACCTTAAACCCCAAACCCACGAAAGGGGTGGAAGGCTGGAAGGCTGGAGGGGCTGAAGGTTGGAGCGGTTGAAGGCTGGAATGCTTTGAAGCCTTCCACCCTCAACCTTCCAGCCCTCCAGCCTTCCTCCAGCCCCAGCCTTCCAGCCTGCCTCCAGCCCAGCCTCCAGCCCTCCAGCCCTCCAGCCTTCCAGCCTTCCAGCTCCCTCCAACCTCCCAGCCTTCTTCCAGCCCCAGCCCAGCTTGCCTCCAGCCAGCCTCCAGCCCTCCAGCCAACCTTCCTCCAACGCTGGTTGGAAGGCTGTGGGCTGGAAAACTGGAAGGCTGGAAGGTCCGAAGGTTGGAGGGCTGGCCTGCATGGGCTGGAGGCAGGCTGGAACACTGGAAGGCTGGAAGGCTGGAAAGCTTGAAGGCTGGGGGGCTGGGGAAGGCTGGAAGGCTGGCGGCAGGGCCACTGGGTTTGGAAAATTGAAAGGCTGGAGGGCTGGAGAAGGCTGGAAGGCTGGAAGGTTGGAAGGCTGGAGGGCTGGGGCTGGACGGCAAAGCTGGAGGGCTGGGGCTTGGGGCTGGAGGAAGGCTGGAAGGCTTGAAGAAGGCTTGAGGGCTGGCTCGGTTTGGCTTGAACCTAAAGCTGAAAGGTTTGACTTCTACCTGAACCCTAAACCCTTAAACCCTAAACCTAAAATCCTAAACCCCAAACCCACCAATGATTTGCCAATTTCCGGATATTTTATTTCGAGGCGGGCCCGGGCGATGTTTCACGGAGGTAGTGTAATATACCTGTTTAACCTATTTAAATATCAGTGTATTTAAAAACAGACGCCGTAGTTTGTTTACTAAAGGTGTTTGTCCGGGTAACGTAAACTAAGGTTCTTAACAAGACCCCATGTATAGATAGGAGAAATTCCCCTTTAAAGTCTCTAGATAAGAGAGTTAGGATTTAAATTTAAGGTTTAGTGTTTCTAGATCAGTATACTCTTAATTCGCCTGAAAAGCTACTCGAATTGCTAGGGTCCCTACATCTTGAGGGGCTCCTTTGCATGAAGGAGTGCCCTAAACCCAAACCCTGAACCCTGAACCCTAAACTGTTACGGTCTTAGGTTTTGGGTTTGGCGGTTTGGGGGCTTGGGGGTTTAGAATCTTGGGGCTTTGGGTGTTTTAGGGGTTCAGGGTTTAAGGAGTTTCGGGGTTTCGGGTTTAGGGTTTCGTAGCCAGACGCCACCTTTCCTAAAGTCAAGGGCCCAGGGCCTTAATGGTGGGATACGTATATACTAGTATAGTCCGCAAATGCGGGGCGTACATTGATCACGGGTCTGGTTTTGGGCATGACAACTGGCTTGACTATTTCGTTACCGGTCTTTCTATGAGGGCGTGTGTTATGGGGAGCGTTTGATGCCGAACTGCGAGCGTCGGCAGCTGGCTTTGCCATCCTCGAGGTCTTGTACGAAAGTAGAAGTGCAGTAGCAGTAGCGCTCTACCGCCAACGTCTTGGAATGTTGTTGCCCGTGCCACCACATGAGCAGGCCCAGATGAATCGCATTGTCATGGTTGGCTGCCGTCTCCTCTGCTTTAAACGGCGCTTACTGCCATCATCCGATGGCCATTATCACAGCAGCATCGTCTGATCTCATTACTGTTTTTTCAAGCCTGAGCTTTTGAACGCAGCAGCTAAACCCTAGCCCTAAACCCCAAACCCTAAACCCTAAGCAGCAGCGCTTACATCCAGGCCGTCGCCTGGGGCAATCCCCACTTCGGTGGGGACAGCAGCTGCGTCAGGGACGAGCTGACGATTCTGGCCCTGGCTTACCCCAAAAAAGGGGCCTTAGTAATAATTACCGCTACTTTAAGGGATCTAATGGGGGCTTTAATAGGGTTCCTTAAAACTATAAGGGACCTAGACGGGTACTATAATATAGGGGTCTTTGTAATTAATCACTTATACTATTTGGGGGCTCCTGAATTATTTATGACTATAGTATAATGGGCCGCCAAAACCCTCTTCTAATTAATACGGCCCCTATAGTAGCGGCTTCCACTGTTTAAGGTACAGGCTTGAGGCGTTTAGGGGTTTAAGGTTGAGGGTAAGTGCGGCCCTGGCTGAGCAGACTAATTTAGTTCAGATCCCTATTAGGATAACTTAAACTAAGGTTCTCAACAAGACCCCTTTTTTCTAGAGAGGCAAGAGTCTTATTTTGAAGGTTTTGATCGGGTCTTCTACGGGTTTTGCTGCAACAGTAGGGAGAAGGATTCCCAAGAGCTCCACCAGCTTTTCCAAGGCTTGAGGGATGAGGGTTTAAAGGCAAGGCTTAGAGGTTATGGGTTTGAGGGGCATGAAGTTCAGGGTCATGAAACTCGAAATCCTAAACCCTGAAGCCCTAAACAAAACCCAAGCCCTCATAGACCCTGAAACCCTGAAAGCCTTCGGTGCTCCTGGGATGTAGTTGGAATTGCAGGGCCCTTCTGACCCCCAGAGCTTCCGGCAGACGTATAAGCTTTAGGGTTTATCGTTTAGGGATTAGTTTAGGATTTAGGGTTTTAGGCTTAGGAGTTTGGGAGTACAGAGGGCCCTTGTTATGAAGCCGGGTCGAGCCTCAAACATTCGAGGCCCCGACCATAAAGTCTCATAAACAACGTCAACAAGCAAGACCGTCCTTAACCCTAAATTCCCAAAGCTTGAACCCTGAGTCCCACATAAAACCCAGGAACGTGCATCAAATCCAATCCACGGATGCAGCCTTCGCAGCCATTCGGGTGGATGGGTCGGCATCTGGGACTTCATCTCCGAGTCCGAAAAGACTACGTAGCAAAGGGGCAGAGTACTTGGAGCCAGCTTTCGGGGATTGTTTAGCGAAAAGAGCCATAATCAGGAACCTTCAGGAGCACCGGTAGCGAAAACAGCACCCACACGTAGACATGTGGGATTGTACATCCGTAGGTTACTAGATTATTTCAAGAGGGGGTTCTGAGACATTCCAAACCTTATGGCTTTGTTGAGCTGCCTTTTTGGGTCTTACCCTCAAAGCTTCAGGTCGTCCCGATACCCTAAACCCTCTCTTCTAAACCCTAAACTCTACCCTCAAAGGTTCAGGTCGTCCCCAGACCCTAGCCCTAAACCCTAAACCCTAAACTCCACCCTCAAAGCTTCAGGTCGTGACGTGGGGAGAGGGCTTCTCCGGCGGCGATAGCACGGCCGTGCGGCAAAAGCTCACGGAAGCCCCTGAGCCGGGTCAGGCTCTAGGCTTTGGGGGCTTTTGGCGGGGTTTAGGGTTTAAGTTTAAGGTTTGGGGTGGAAGAGCTTAGGAGTTTGAGGTTTTTTTTTTTTTTTCATTTTGCTCAGGCTTTTGCAGTAAGGTCTTGTCTGAGAGAGATTATAGGATGATGAGTAGGGATTTACAGGCTCTTTCGGGGGATGGACAGTCTTGAGTGCTGATGCCCCGAGAGTCTGGGACAGGGTTGATTATGTTTCGGGTTTCCGCGAGGCATGACAACAGTCAGCCTTTCCTTCCAAGGCCTCAGAATCAGGCTAAGCCCGAGGGCACAGTGATCGGAACTGGCAGTGTTCACATTTTTTGAAGAAGTTTTGTTTGCCCACTGCATGCGGAAACGCTGGCGTGTAGGCAGAAAGCTACCATGGTAGTGGCCGATTTTTTTTCGACCCTGCACGCTGTGCATCCTAAATCCTCAAGACGCAGAGCCCGGATCCTCCCTGAACCCTGAACCCCTGAGCTTCAACCCGCTCCACAATCCTCCATTTTGGAAATTGTTCCATGATCGGTCTTTGAATGCTCCAGGGGCGTTGGTGTTTAGGGCTTGGCGATACCTTCGCTTCAGTCGGCATTAGAGGAGAGAGCCGGCTCTGGGGACTGTGTTTGGGGTGCAGGACTTGGGGAGGACTTGGGGGGCTGAAGGCATAGGCTTCGAGGGTTTCGGGTATGGAAGCTTTGGGGTTTCATGTTTTTAGGGGCAGATGGTGTAGGGCAGAGGACTCTGGTGTTAAGATTCGGGGTTGATGCCGGGTCTTCACGAACTCCAGATGTTATTCCCTAATCCAGAAGTGGACGTGAGGGTCATAAGCGCGACCTTAAGCTCCAAAACTGGAAACCCAGGTTCAGAAGATTCAAGCAAATGGCTCCGCCTTTGCTGCCATCCGGGCAGACGGCTCTGTGGTGACATGGGGCGAGGATTGGATCACGGGCTTGCTAGGCTTCAGTCAAGGTGTTGACGGTGCTTCTGATTTGGATTTGGGTTTTTTCGACCAGGCAATTCTCGGAGTGTAGTGCCAAACCTTCAACAACAAGAAGTCATAATGTAATACAACATGATATAACTGCTATAACTAATGTATGAAATTCTTGAGGGTCTGGGACTGGCAAAGCTTTGTCTAAACCTCGGTGACTCCAGAATCCCAAAGTCCATCTGTAGAAGAGCCTAAAGCTTCAAACGCTGGGGATGCAAACATCACTAAGCCGACAATCGACACACACCTTCGGTAGCGGAAATGTTCAACAAGCCCCAAGTCTTAAACACCTGAAAACCCGCGAGCCAAGCCTAAACCCAGCCGAACACTGCGCGATTCTGAACCTATTAATAGGGGCTCCTTTAAGGGTTCCTTTAAGGGTTACTATAAGGGTTCTATAGGGGTTCTATAAGGGTTTAGGGTCTGTCCACCAGGCAGTGTGTGGCGGAGATTGCAGCAGCGTGGCGGGGCAGCTGTCCGGCGTGCAGGAGATTCAGGCCTACGAGAGCCTACTCTAATTATTAAGTCAGCTATATCCTTAGGGGTAAGAGCATGATAGGCTCTATGGTTTTTAGTGTTTTCGGTTTAGGGTGTGGGGCTTTGGGTCCACAGAGCTCGCAGGGTCTAGATGTAGCATTCTACAAGAATTCTATCTATCGGCGTTCATAGAGGTTCTACCAGGGTTCCATAATTCCACAATGGTTGCCTATGGGTTCTAGAGTGGTTCGGGGCAGCGCGTTGTAGGGCCTCGTAAGGTATGGGCTTCTTTTCTTAAGTTCACTTCACTTCGAAAATGTGTGGGCCCATGTTGGTGTCTTAATCATAAGGTGATGTGCTCTTCGTGGGGATCGACAGTGAGATCCTACTTCAGACAATCACCTGAGAGCAGGCTTCGAGAATTTAGGGTTTAGCATTTCAGGAGATTTTGTTGGATATTAGTGGTGGTAGGATGAAGGGGACTTCAGAGTTGTGGGTTTCAGGGATGAGGATTAGCAGCGACAATGATGATAACGAGGAGCTTCATCAAAGGAGCAGGTGAAGTCTTGCCGTTCGTTTCTTGGAGTTTGGAGGGTGCATTGGAGCTGTAACTGGAAATTTGGACGCAAATCCCAGACGCGAAGCCACCACGAAGCCCTTGAGCCCAACACCCCCCCCCCTTGCCAAAGCCCTGAGCCCAAAATCCTGAAGCCCCAAAATGCCACGTCCTGAATCTTGATTCCCTATCAGAACCCTTCGGTGAAACCTTTCTAGAAACCCTGTATAAACGTGCATATGGCCATCCAAAACCTGAAAGCCTGGGGTGATTCTCTTAATCGGCTCGTGTTTTGATAAGAGTTAGATAGGGACTATACAGTGTAGCAACCCTTCAAGGAGTTCTGACAGGCACTCTTCAAGCAACCCCCCGAAGGAACTAAGGAACCATTTAGGCCTTTAGGCCCTTCGAGGATAAGGCTCTAAGCCCTAAGTCCCAAAACCCAAACCCTAAGCTCCAAACCCTCCCGGCCGTAGATATTGCACTCATATTCATACCCTATGTAATTAAGATTATTACTGTTATTGCAGTATGATTTTGAGTAGATGTTTGTTTGAACTAATGCTATCATAACCATTGTCATTCTCCCCTTAACCCTAAAGCCCCCTAAACGCTAAACCCACTAAACCTGAAACCGCTTCTTCTACTTCTTGTTCTTCTTTTTTTGGAGGCCTCCAGCGGGGCCTTCGCAGCCCTGCGCCGGGATGGCACCGTGGTGTCCTGGGGCCGGCCGGAGTGTGGAGGCCCTTGCGTGGGGTTTCGGATGGTTTCTCGGAATCTTTGCTGTAGGGCCTGAGGCTGGGGCTTATACTTAAAGGATCATGGGACTTAGTAACTTGGGTTATAATTAGGGTAACTATACTTATAACCCCAGTTAAGGTACTTATAACCTTACTTACTAAGTCCCATGATCCTCCAAGTAGGGATTCTTTTGACGTTGGATTTTGGGAGCCCGAGCCCAAACCCCTAAACCCATGTAAGTCCAAACCCAGAGCCGCAAGGCCAAAGCCCCAAACAGGAAGCTCTAAACCCGAGCCCAAAATCACAACATCCAAGACCCCAAACTCAACAACATAACACCTGCAAGCTTAAATCGTAAGCCCGGAAGACTGACAGGAGCCCTAATATAGGGGCCTAAATAATTACCTATACCACTTTGGGGGTTCCTTAATATTTTTATGGTATCATGGGCCCCAAACCCTATTCTAATTATTAAGGCTCCTATATTACACGCCCAGAAGAGTCGAGTTAGAGCAAGTGAGGTAACTCTAAACCCTAAACCCTAAAACCCTAAACCCTAAACCTTATAAGCCCTAAACCCTAAACCCTCAAGTCTAAACCCTAAACCCCTATAAACCCTAAACCCTATTAACAAAAGGTAACAGCAGCGCGCTGCGAGACCAGCTCAGAGACGTGCACCAGATCCAGGCGCCTTGGGATGGTCGTTGGTCTGGGATTTAGGGTTTTGGGGTTTAAGGTTTTTGGGATTTAGGGTTTTGGGGATTTAGGGTTTTGGGATTTAGGGTTTTGGGGATTTGGGGTTTTTGGGATTTAGGGTTTTGGGGTTTTGGGATTTGGGGTTTTGGATTTTGGGGTTTTGGGTTTTGGGATTTGGGGTTTTTGGGATTTGGGGTTTTGGGGATTTAGGGTTTTTGGATTTAGGGTTTTGGGGTTTAGGGTTTTGGGATTTAGGGTATTCGGGTTTAGGGTTTTGGGATTGAGGGGTTTTGGGGTTTAGGGCTTTGGGATTTAGGGTTTTGGGGTTTAGGGTTTTGGGGTTGAGGGGTTTTGGGGTTTAGGGTTTTGGGGTTTAGGGTTTTGGGATTGAGGGGTTTTGGGGTCTAGGGTTTTGGGATTTAGGGTTTTGGGGTTTAGGGTTTTGGGATTTGGGGTTTTTGGGATTTAGGGTTTTGGGGTTTTGGGATTTGGGGTTTTGGGTTTTGGGGTTTTGGGGTTTTGGGTTTGGGGATTTAGGGTTTTGGGATTTGGGGTTTTTGGGATTTGGGGTTTTTGGGATTTAGGGTTTTGGGGTTTTGGGATTTGGGGTTTTGGGTTTTGGGGTTTTGGGGTTTGGGGTTTTGGGATTTAGGGTTTTGGGGATTTAGGGTTTTGGGGATTTGGGGTTTTTCTGATTTAGGGTTTTGGGGTTTTGGGATTTGGGGTTTTGGATTTTGGGGTTTTGGGTTTTGGGATTTGGGGTTTTTGGGGTTTGGGGTTTTTGGGATTTAGGGTTTTGGGGTTTTGGGATTTGGGGTTTTGTTTGTTGGGGTTTTGGGTTTTGGGGTTTAAGGTGTTTTGGGGTTTTGGGGTTTAGGGTGTTGGGATTCAGGGTTTTAGGATTTAGGGTTTTGGTGGTTTAGGGTTTTTGGGGTTGATGTTGTTTTGGGGCTTAGGGCTTAGGATTTAGGGTTTTTGGGTTTGTGGTTTTGGGGGTTGATGCTGTTTTGGGGTTTATAGGGCTTAGGGATCGGGGTTTTGGGTTTGGGGGTTTTGGGGGTTGATGTTGTTTTGGGGCTTAGGGCTTGCCACGGTTTTTGAGGTTTAGGGCTTTGGGGGTTGATGTTGTTTTGGGGTTTAGGGCTTAGGGATCGGGGTTTTGGGTTTTGGGGTTGAGGGTTTTGGGGGTTGATGTTGTTTTGGGGCTTAGGGCTTAGGGTTTGGGTTTAGGGTTTTGGGGGTTGATGCTGTTTTGGGGCTTAGGGCTTTGGGTTTAGGGTTTTGGGGTTTAGGGTTTTGGGCGTTGATGTTGTTTTGGGGCTTAGGGCTTAGGGCTTTGGGTTTAGGGGTTTAGGGTTTTATGGGTTGATGTTGTTTTGGGGTTTAGGGCTTACGGTTGAGGGTTCACGGTTTTTGGGGTTTAGGGTTTTTGGGGTTGATGTTGTTTTGGGGTTTAGGGCTTAGGGATCGGGGTTTTGGGTTTTGGGGTTGAGGGTTTTGGGGGTTGATGTTGTTTTGGGGCTTAGGGCTTAGGGTTTGGGTTTAGGGTTTTGGGGGTTGATGCTGTTTTGGGGCTTAGGGCTTTGGGTTTAGGGTTTTGGGGTTTAGGGTTTTGGGCGTTGATGTTGTTTTGGGGCTTAGGGCTTAGGGCTTTGGGTTTAGGGGTTTAGGGTTTTATGGGTTGATGTTGTTTTGGGGTTTAGGGCTTACGGTTGAGGGTTCACGGTTTTTGGGGTTTAGGGTTTTTGGGGTTGATGTTGTTTTGGGGTTTAGGGCTTAGGGATCGGGGTTTTGGGTTTTGGGGTTGAGGGTTTTGGGGGTTGATGTTGTTTTGGGGCTTAGGGCTTAGGGTTTAGGGTTTTGGGGTTTAGGGTTTTGGGGGTTGATGCTGTTTTGGGGCTTAGGGCTTTGGGTTTAGGGTTTTTGGGGTTGATGTTCTTTTGGGGTTTAGGGATCAGGGGTTTGGGGTTTGGGGTCTTTTCTAGTTCTCCCAAGTTTTGGGTTTGGCTTGGGGTTACAACAGGGTTAGTATAGGGTTCGTATGAGGATTCCTAGTTGGGTTCTATAATGTTTAGCCTGCTGGGGTTTGGGATTCTGGGCCGCGGATTTAAATGGTTTGGGGCTGAGGGCGTTGGGTTTTCTCTGTGCCACGAAACTCGACACCCATCGTAGCAGTTTGGAGGTCATGAAACCTCAAACCCACATGCTCTCACAAACTCCAGGGGAGCCTGAAGCGCAAGATCCGTGTGGGGAGCAGTGCTCGGATGGCGGGTCTGTTCTGGAGCCCATCAGAGTATCCCACCCGGGGCCAACTGTTACTGTTGAATTAATATTGCTTCAAAGCCATCGTCGTCGTCAGCGTCATTGTTGTATTAGTAGTTCTCGCCTTGTTGTTGTCGTACTCCTGCTTTGTTATTACGACGACGGCACCCCCAAGCGCCTCCAGCCTCCGCTGTAATCGGTCTGATTACCGAGTAAGACTGCAAAATTACTTCCCAGTCCTTATGCAGATGCAGTAACCAGTAGAATATGTCCAAAAAGCCCCACACTAATTGATAACCACTCCTACGGTATCTGGGGGTTTCCGAAAATTGGGGACCCTCTCCTAGTACCCTAAGTAGTAGGATCCTTCGTTTAAGGACCCCCAAATAAGGTACCCCTAATGCTCGGAGACTCCCATATGTGTCCAGACCCAGGCCACGAACTCGGCTTTTGCGGCTCTGCGCACGGACGGCTCATTAGTGTGCTGGGGCGATCCGGACACTGATGGCTGGGCTGCAGACGGGGCCAAGGCGAGCCACCTCTGTGTTCGGAAGGGGACAGCCCAGAGAGCCCAATACCCCTTAATTAGGGAATATGGCTTAAATCATTCGTAATATGAATCACCTTGTAGTTAAAATGTATTCCTTAATTAAGGCGCACACGTGCGCGCCAAAAATAACCACCTTGAAGACAAAACCGACACAGGAGCGGCCGAGGGAAGTGCTGAAAAGTGTGGCAGGCGCAGCAGAATCGCATGTTTTGACCTACCCCAGCGGTCGCGTGGCAGAAGCAAAAACGGTACACGATTTCATGTCCTTTTTTGTGGCCGTCCTAGTCGACCATCAGTGCTATCATCATCGATGTCAACATCGATATCATCCTCACAGTCACCATCGATATCACCACCATCTTCATCATTCTCATCATCATCGTTATCATCATCGTCATCAATGTGTTGAGCAGTAGGCCTTTTGTGTGCCGGGAACAGCCGGCCTGAGTTTATTTTCCGGACCTGGGCTGGAAAGCTAGTCTTACGGCAGAAGGCGAAAACACTGGTGGGGCCGATGACTTTGAAGGTCGCGGCAAGTTTGTTGAGGTTTGTGGGTGGAAAAGGTATGGGGCAAAAGGTCTTTGCACAGTCACCTTTGCCAGATCGCCACGTCATCATCGTTGCTACCACGATTGTTATCATCATCGTTATCATCTTCGCCATCGCCATCGATATCATCGTGACCATCGTAATTTTCATCATCATCGTTGTCTTCCTCGTCGTCAACATTTCGAGCGGTGTTTTTTTGTTGGCGCGCAAGCCTTAATTAAGGGGTATTGGGCTCTGTGGGAAGATGGCCGGGTCTTCATTGTTCCATGCATGGGCGGTAGTTTTTTCAATACCCGGGTTGCTGCTCGACATCGGCGGCACGCCTGCGCAGGGGAAGCACGCGAGAAAGCCTTGGGTTCAATTCAAAAAGGGCTGAGCCCTAAAACCCTACACGGCCCTACACCCTAAATCACACAAGCCTGAGAAGCCCTGAAACCCTCAACCCTAAAGCCCTAACCATGTAGACATTCAAACCACACACCCCTGATTTAAGCCCCAGGACACTGAAGCCCCCAAGCTTTCGCAGTCCTGCGAGGCTTTGAAGGACGTGCAGCAAGTTCAGGCGCAGGGTCTAAGGGTTTAGGGTTGCGGGTTTCGAGGGTTCCTTGAGGGTATCTATTTGGCGTCTACCGGGCTTAGAGTTTAGGGCATTTGGGGTCTAGGGTTTCTGGGGTTAAGGGCATAAGGCTACGGCTTTAGCGTCAAGGATGTTTTCAAATTGAGGAGCTTGGGGGTGTGATTTTGCTTTCTGGTTTAAAGATTTTAGCATATAAACTCTCACGCACTATGAGCACAAGTACCGCACCGCCAGTTTGTGACTGTGTGCTAGCTGCTAGCTGTAGCGCGATAGACACCCACACCTTCTTCTATTGGGAAGTCGACAAAGTACTGTTGTACTTGGTGTCAGCTTAAGGGTTTACGAACGAGCAGCAGCGAACTCGAGATGATGGTTGAGGGTTTTAGGACGCCGGAGTGGTCATGAAAAGCAAGATTGAATAGTATTCCAAAGTAACACGGGGATAGCAACAATAGTCCCGTAAACCTGAAAGCCTAAATCATATACCTCGGTGATACAATGGCAAGGTAATGACAACGATTTAAGTCCGTAGCAGCTTAAGCAAGATCAGGCAATGAGCCCTCTTCAGCTAAGTGCGCCCGTATTCCTGCATCCCTGAGACCCACGGCACCCTTGAGGAATCCTTCACGCCGTTGAGCTCACCATAAACTTGTAGCATGGTGGGCTGCAAACTTGACTGCCCCTGAACCCCAAGCTCTGAAGCCTACACCCTGAAGAACACCTGTGGAGGGATGGAAGAAACCCCGGAAGTTATGACAAACCCTTGTCGGGTTACTGCACTTCTCCCACACCGAAAACTCGGACTGTCCCAAACCTAAATGAAAACCTTGAAACCTAGACCATGAACCCTAAACCCTGAACCTGTATCCAGAACCCAGGAACCTAAAACCAGAATCCCAAGCCCTCCCCAAACCTTATGCCCAAAAATCCACAGCCTAGACGTTTTTGTCGACCGAGGCATGTGCAGGCTCGGACATGTTCGCTGCCGTGCTGGCAGACGGGTCAGTGGTGACGTGGAGCAAGAGCCAGTGAAAAAGAGCAGGTTGAGAGCCTCCAAGATCTTAAAGTAAAAGCCAGAAAGTTGGAATATGATTATCCTAAACCCTTTATGGTAAATTATAAGGTATCCTACCCTGAAACCATATTCCAACTTTCTGGAGTTCCCTTTAAGGGGTTGCCGAAGTGTGAACCGTCGTCGTGGCCGAGACGAGTAGAATAGTATTGGGGCCTCAACAACTAGACGAGGGTCTTGTGGTATGTTTTGAAATGACTACATAGGCACCACGAGGGGGGATCTGAGTACAAATTGCTCAGACCTCAATCATACAGAACCTTGTCAAGATCTGGCAAGATGGCATGACACCCTTGTTGGACCCTACAGAACCATTCCTTAGAAGAGTTTTGGGTAAAGGGTTTTTAGGGCGTTGTTTTTCGGTCTAGGGCTTAGGAGGAGAATGAGTGTCCAAGGCCAAGAAAAATGGTTTCGGATCCCAAACTCAAAGGCCTTCCGCGACTCTGTGAAGCCAACATCTGTAGAATTCTGGCAAAGCTTCCGGGGTTCGAGGACATGTCTTCCTTTTAAAGCTCACCCTAAACCCCAACCCTGAAGCTCCGAACCCTAAACCCCTACGAAGCATGAAGCATAAAGCCCGATGGCCGCAGAAACCGCGGGGCATCCTGAAAGTTGGAATCGCCCTAAGCTTTAGGGTTTCGGGTGTAGGGTTCAGGTTTGGGGTTGCGGGTCCAGGATTTCGGGCTGCGTTGAGGTGGTGGGTCGGATCTTCCAGGTCAGTCTGGATTGTAGGGCTCTGAATATCGGGCCTTGGACGTTAGGACTTTCGGAGTTTTGGGTTTAGCACTGACTGCTGCCGAGGGCTTACGATGTATCTTACTTCCAAATTCGATCCAGCGCAGCCTTCTGGAGGCAGCACCGCCCGCAGCGCCAGCTCGGCCGCCTTCGCCGGTGAGGCCGGTCGAGGCTTTAGATGCACAAAGCCTGTCACCGTAGACAACCTACGTCCAAACATTGTTCGAATGCACTCCAAGCTTTAAATCTCAATCCCAAACTCTCAGCCCTGAACCCACACCCTGGAACCATAAGCGCAAAAGCCCTACGCCCTGAGGCCTGAAGCCCCTAAAACCCTAAAGCCTTAAACCCCACACACTACACTAAACCCAAAATTAAACCCAAAACCCTAAACTCTGGCCCTTGGAGGACACCGGCCAAGCGAAGGCGCCCAAACTCAGCCTCTCGTCTGAGCTCCGAGCTCTAGGTTTACACTAGGGCTGAGGTTATCAGTGGGTTCAGGGTTTGGGTTAGGGTATCGAGTCTAGGGCTTAGGTTATTAGGGTTTAAAGCTTGAAAGTTTCGGGTATTGACTAAGGCTAAGAGTCCAGGGTCTGTTCTCCGAGAGTTTAGGGTGTCTTGAACATAACCTGCTGCTGTCGCCAAGCGACCACAAGGATTGGACTTCGTATATCGGTTAGAAACTGCCCCCACCCTGTAAAAGTGGTATAATAGGAATATAATAGGGCCCTATTATAATCCTTATAGTCACTATTACAGGGTGGGGGCAGCTTCTAATATATAGGTTATCATGACAGAGCTTTCTTTAAGGCAGTCTGTTGGACATGTGTGTGGCAGGGAAGGGATCGCTGCTGGCGTCGGAGTTTGATCCTGTATTGTCAGAGTTCGCTCGTTTAGATTTCCGGGAGGTAAGTCATTGCGCAACCTTGTGCCTTGTGAATCAAGGATAGTCAAGGTATGTAAAAGCTTGAAATGTTTTACTATGAATCCCGATGTCTTCGACAACCATATCTACATAAACAGCTTTCTTTAGCATCCATGCTTTTGTGCTACAAGGGGCTTGACATGAACAAGTTGTCGCTGAAGGACATGCTACCCCTGAGAGCAGTGCTAGCTGAAGAGTGATTTGCTGGTGCAAGTTCGGCCGCCTCCATCGGCAAGCGCTGCGCCTGAGGGAAAGAACTTTTGGTCAAGACACTTTCTGAGTGCTTGTTGCAATGCACCGGAACGACCGGCGGGATGACTTCAGACCGTCAGCCAATGGTGCATTGTTCACACCTCAATGCCGCTCAGCATTCGACATCTGTGTGTCGATGAGGCGGCGGGAGATTGCAGGCCACGTCACCTGTCCACGTCAAGGATGTAAGTAAGGCTTTCCACGCCCAGCTCGGAGCGTGCTCTGCGAAGGTGGGGCCTCACTGTCGGCGTCCTGCGTGGAAGTACGACCCTGCGGGTAGAGTCGCAGCCCCTGCGCGAGCATTCGTTCGGCTGGGCGAACTCTTTGCTTCAGGCCTCGAGCTCAAGACTGATCGAACTCCGCATCGGATCCCTCAAACCCTAGCAAGACAAGGGCTGAATATGGGCACCTTCCGCAGATATAGTATGTTATGCCCCAAAGTTTCATTCTAGTTTTTCACCATGCAGTATCAGGTTTCGGCCTTAATTCAACTCCAGGTCTTGGGTATCGACCCCTGATAACAAAGCCCTTGTTCTGCTAGTTACGTGTAGAAGCGACCTAGACCTTGGAGCTTGATGCCCATGAGCCCACAGATCCTCAATCAGGATGCCTCCAGTAGCTTGGTCCCCGCTCTAAAGCCGTGTTTGGATTTCGGTTTAGAACCTCAAAAATAGGATCCTGGGCTACCCTCCAGTTCTTTTCAGCTCCTTTGCTCAGGATGAGAACAGAAAGCCCAAAGCGGACAACACGAAACCGTCAGGCCGGCCGACCAGTCGTGAGCCGACCGAAAGAGCGAAACAAAAGCCTACTATAGGGGCCTAAATATTTAAGCAATACCATTTTGGGGGTTCCTGATTATAAATATAGTATCATGGGCCCCAAAACCCTATTCTAATTATTACGGCCCCCCCGCATGACATCAATCCTCAGGCCCTTACACCCACAACACACGCCCGGCCCCAACCTTCAACCACGGGTTCAGAATTCAGGGTGTAGAAGCAATGCGGGTGGGCCGAGCAGGTTGCGCTTCATCAGTACGGGTGCTTTGGGCAGGTTCCCTAATGAAGTCGCGTGAATCTCCAGGATTGGTTTTCCAGTATTGGGTCAGGACAAGTGTCACTCGAGTTCATGCAGACGCTGTAGCCAAACGAACATGCAGGCATGCATTTGCTTTCTGGCCTGCTTCCGGTCGAATTCGTCGATACCTGCCCATGTCACTTCTCGAGAACTCGGTCGAGTTTCAAAATGTCTTGCAAGCTCCTGGCAGTCGTCCGCCCTGTGGACAGCAGGCGCGGATTCGCAGACAAAGTCGACGCCTGCAGCTGGGCCGGTATGGTCACACTCTTTGGTTCCTGTGCAGTTGCGTTTCTGGGATTGACGGTTTTGGGGTTGGTAGTGACCTCCAAGAACCCTGCACCCAACAGCAACCCCCAAACAGAGTGTTCTTGACATGTGGCACTCGGGTTTCGGGTTTTGGGTTCGGGTCAAGGGATCGGAGTCTAGATATTCGCGCTCAGTTTCAGTGTGCCCTAAATCCTAAACTCTCTACCCCGAGCCTTCTATGGATCCGTTAATCGAAACTCTTACAGTCACCCTTACAGCACCGTCAGCATTACCCTAAGCCTCGTGGCAGCCCCACCTCGACAATAAACCTTCGACCCGAAACCCTATACGCCTCCTCCCTAAAGCCCTCCTCCCAGGAGAGGAAGGAGAAGATGAAGGCCTCACCAAAGAGCCTCAGGAGCAGCCTGCTGAGGTTTCAAGAATCGGGCCTTCGAGAGATTCCAAAACCCACCCGGTTAGTTCAGCAATGCATACCGTAAGTCGTAGAGGAACCCTTAATATGAGTTGAGGTATGCTCCTTGAGGTTTTGGATTCGCTAGCTTCGGGTCATCGGGCTTGAGGAATCTGGCAATCTGGCTTTATGCTTTATGGGTTCAGGATTGTGCTGGTCTTACTTTCAGGACTGCTTGGAGGCTTAGGGGTTCAGGATTCTTACTGATTCAATCCCTCAGCCCTTGATAAGCACAGCTGGTTATTCAGCTCCTCCATGACTGTGACTGCCACACGCTTCCCTGCTCAACGCTTGCAGCTAGTCATTGGCGCAGATTGCCAAAAGGAGTCCTTGCATAGGAATCGTTTGCGGGACAGAAGAATCTGAAAGCATTGACTCCCAATTCCCTCGCTCCAAGTTGTAGTTTGGACTTCTTGACTGGAGCAGCCGACAACATCCCGTAGCGTGCGCGGATGTCTGCGCGCACGTACGCCTGCGTGCACACACAACGTATGCGCACATGCATGGCCACGGAACACTAGATACCCAAACACATGCACAGGTACACAGAAGCACATGCATACCTAGCACAGAGTTACATAGCAGAATACGTAGTACATGTATACATACATGTATACACTCATGCTGGCATACATACATTCATACATACATATGTACATGCATACACACACACATAAATATGTGTATATATATATATACATATACATACATATATATATATATATATATACACACACACATCTGCCCATCCATCCGTCCATCCATCCACCCACCCATCCATCCATCCATCCATCCATCCATACATCCGTACATACGTACATACATGCATGCGTGCATGCATACATGCGTACATACATACGTATATGTCTGTATGTATATATATATATATACACACACATACATTCATATGCACATACACCCGCACAGACTCTAGCATGACACGCCTCCCCAGACACGCCTCCTCACTCACAAGAAACACAATAACCTGCAACGTGAATTGTCATCATCATCATCATCATCCTCATCCTCATCATCATCATCATCATGGTTGTTGTTGTTGCTTACGTGGGCGTGTGTGTGCTCATTTCGGTATGCAAAGTTGACAGGGGGAGGGAGGGCGGCAGAGAGAGACAGAGAGAGGCAGCAGCAGATGGGGAAGTGCCAGGACCCCGCTCTCGGCCAAGAGGCGCCGCTCCGGCGCGAAGAAGGCGCTAGAGGCGCCTTGTAGACTGGTGGTTGGGGGTTTGACGGCT